AGGCGCTGGCGTTGGCTGCTTTGCACATTTCCGGGCGCGCGCAACACACACAAACACGCATACACACACACACACACACATACCCAGTGGCGACGAGTCAAAATCAGGACAGACGCGCTCTGTCCTAAGTTTGGGTCAGGGGGCGGTGGCGCCAGCAGCACCACGACTGAGCCCCAATTCTGGCACATGCGTACAAACAAATGGCCAGCTTCGCATTGGCCCAAACTAAAATTTGGGCTCCTGTTCTTATATGTTCTCTTTTTTTTCGTATTTTAGTTGCACTCGAGCAATTTAATAAGGCACTCACCTGCGGCCATTAGAGCCGTTTACCTGGTCGCGATGCAAATACAAAATCGTCAGCTGACCATCCGAGCCAATGTTTCGGCCGCTTTTTGGCATGCTGGCTAAGTCCACGAGAAGCTCGTCAATTCGATTTAACGTTAACAGTTTGCGCTTTGTTGAAGTTTGAGTCTCAAACGCGCTGCCAGCATCCTGGGCAGCCGCTGGCTGCAGGATATGCTTGTAGCGACGGCAGCGGCGACGGCGGCGCTGACGGTGACAGCGACGGCGACAGCGACAGAGGCAGCGACAATGGCCGCGCTCTCGTTTTTAGCGAACTGCTGCGCTCGGCGTCAAATTTCAAACTAAAGTCAGTTGGCCCGGCATGGCCGCAGCTAAAACCCAGTGAGAATGCGACCCTCCAAGCCTTAGTTACCCTGCTGGAAATTTCGGGCATGTGGTGTGAAACGAGTGCGCGCTTTGCGCCTCTGGAGGGGCACTTCTCTAAAGAAAAAACTGTGGAAATTATGAAGAAAAAGCAAGTGCATGTGTTTTTAGCTGTATACAAATATAAAGTACATGAGTTTTCAGCAGATTTTAGATTTAAATTTCAGTATTGTGTAAAATGTGCCTCAGTTGCGTTTAACTTATTTTCATATAATTTAACTTCTCTCGTTATTTCCGAACTCTATTCCGTGATTTTCACATTATATGCATACAAAAAAACATGTGATATATAATCAAAATATCTAGCATGTTACAAACTGTGTGCCTTTCACTGTATTTTATCATGCTTGAATTTCTTTCTGGGTGCGCGCGAGATTCGACAACAACAACGACAACAACAACAGCAGGCAAACGGTGCTTTTGCTAAAGTTGATAACAGCCATGTTGCTGCCTTTGTGTGCGTGCGTGCATGTGAGCTGGCGTGTGTTTGTGTGTGTGGGTCTGTGTGTGAGTAACACAACAACCTAGCACCTAGCGTTAAAGAGCGAGTGCGAGTGGGAGAGCGCGAGAATGAATACACTTAGAAAAAATGAATGTAAGCAGATTACCGTACTTCAGCATGTGGAAACATTGTGAAGCTATTAATTTGCAGATCAAAAAATACTAATATCAGTTTTATTATTGATAAAATTGTCAAGAGCTTTTGTAAGGCCCGAATCATCCACGATTTATATGCTTCAGTAGCTTAGTTATATAGAATATACGCGCAATGGATTTATCTGTAAGAACTTAATGCAGCAGAAGGTCTGCTGGGTGACTTTGTAATTTCAATTTGTTTTATTCTGCGCTACGAATTCACTAATATAGGTGAAATAGAGTATTTTTTACAATTCTTTGCAGCTTACATAGTATTTAGATTGGAGAGGTAGTTGCAATGATAGGATTTTTACAATGACGGGGATTCAGGGTTTAGCTTAATACAGAAAGGTATTTAAATGAATCGCCTCGTTGTTTGGTTCGTTTTTAAATAAATACAAAATGTGAAAAGTTTAGCACTAGACTTAACATCAGATACAACCAACAATAATATTAATACTTTAACGATTTAAATCAATTAATTTTCTCAAGGTGTATTAAAATTCATTCAATTTCCAGGACATGCCTCCTTGTACATGTACATGTTCATATGTATGCGTGTGCTCATATTTGTGTGTGTTTGAGCGTGTCTGCCTGGGAGAGGAGAGCACCCAGAGCAGCAATGGATGAGTGTAGACTTTGTGGATTTTGTTTCCAAATTGAATTGTCCAATACATTTGCGTGTGCGTGCGCTGCAAGGACTCTCGCCGAGCAGAAAGGCAATGGGAGCGGTAGAATTTACGGGGCTGCGAATCGCTGTAACCTTCGGTGCATGCTCACCAAAACTGGAGTCAATGAAACTTCTTTGCTGCACGCTCCGCGTCTTTCAAAATGAAATCAAAGTGGGATATTTAAAGCCTCATTAATCAGGCTGCTGCTATCCACAAGTAAACCCCAGCTCGGCAGCGCTACCAGACGAGGTGTCGAGTGGCCCACAACTCGAGGCTCTCAACTTGAGAGCGTTAATGCGCTCATTAAGTTCGAATTTGTTTCATTGATAATTACATGATGCTAATAACGATGGAACACTGTAAGATAACATATATTTACATATCCCAAAAGCAAAGGCATATGTAAGCAATAATTACTGGCTTCTAATGCGCGGACCCAGCCCCTCTAAATACTTTTGTTTCATACACATGTACATATACTTATTTTCGATATTAGGCATTACAAATAAAATTAAATATTTTGCCTAGGTTTAAAAAAGTTTTATAAACCGACTAACTGGCAATTTTTCGCAGCCCTGAGAGCATGCTGGAAACCATTGCGATTCTCGCTAAAATTCAAGAACAAGAAAAACACAAGAAATATTTGAGCCATTGTTTAGTAATTTTTTAATTTATGGCCCATATTTCCTGCAATGTTCTTTTTTGGTAATTCTACCTGAAGCATTGCTGCAATTGCCAAAGGCATGCAGTGAAAATGGCCTTTCTTCATTACATCTTTTATTTTTGGAAAATTTAGACGTAGCCTTGATATACTGTGTGTACAGTCAGAGAAATGCAACTGGTCGATTTCTCTTTTCTCGTCTAGTGGCAACGTCATGGAACAGTTTTGGAAAACCTTTGGCTCTGGTTTATCATACAAATATTAGCGTTTATTTTTTAGATTAACGCGAACGTATTGTACAGTAACTAGTTCGGTTTCTCGGCTGCGGCCGTCGTTGGGTTTATTGTTGCAACGCTTCAGCTGAGTCAATTTGATGATTTGTCGTAATGAATGCTAATTAAACGCATTCGTTTTCTAGTTCAGTTGGCACCCAACAGCAAGCCAGCATCTATATTGGGCCAGAGCATCTTATTCTTCTACTCTAACGCTAGCTGGTTTCTATGTATTCGTTCAACTTGAATGTGTTCTCGTATGCCGCATGGCCAGGGCAACAAAGTGTGTCAAAATTCTTAGGCGTATCCATGAACAAAACCTTGCTCACATGCCCAGCCGAGGTGTGTGGCTGTGACTGGCTATGTGCCGTAGTTTAGCAAATAGACACACAGATACATACATGCATACAAATAGCTGAGTATATAGAAAACATAGATACAGATAGCGATATGCAGGCCTCCGCTACAGACACAGATAGCAGTTCAAGTATGTTTCACACAATTTGGGTATATCCACGACGTGAGCGTAAGTGGAAAAGCAAATAAAAGGTGCTAATTTCATGAGGGTTTAATTAGACGTTAGGCTGCTGTACGATTTCTATTTGAATTCAAGTTTTTATTGTCGGTCGCGGGTCTAGTTAAAAGAAAAACTCATATAGTTCAAGACGTTTTCCTAGCCACTAAACTTCTTTCATTCTTTCTACGCGACTACGTCGGCACTTATATTATGATCAAAAAAGAACATGTAAAAGCATAAAAAATATAAAAAAAAAAAAAAACAAAATATAACGTTCGCCCGAGCAGGGACTTGAACCCTGGACCCTTGGATTAAAAGTCCAATGCTCTACCGACTGAGCTACCCGGGCAGTTGATTCAATTTTGCCAAAATCCCTTTAAATTGCAACTGAAAGATAAAGCTTTGTGCTACAAAGTTGGCAGGAAAAGCTTTTATCATTATTAAGGCAAAAAGCTCAAATGCTCAATGTATATTGACTTATTATTCGAGAATAAGAATACGATAAATATGAATTCCAAAAACTGCCAATCAGAATACCGAAAGGAATTAAAACAAGACGGGATATATTTTTATTAGAAATAATATACTTAAATAAAAAATTTTGTATCAAAAAGATTGTGGTCCAACAATTGGCAAGGCTGATAGTGGCAGTCCACTCCGGTACGCTATCCCACTACTGCTTACCACGGGAACTCTTGGCTGCTGGTTTTCACCCCTGGCCCGGTTCATCCCTCCTTAGCCAACCTGAATGCCGTGGACTCCTCCGCGGCACCCATATTGATGGCAAGCTTAGTGCGGACGTTCCGTCAACATGGCTGGTCCACTACACAGTGATCCCCAGCCTCAGGCCATCCCACAATCAGACCTCACAGAAGCGTGATTACAGAAGCTGCCAACCTTCCAGTCGAACATCACATTTCTAAACGAGCATTTTATGTTTAGCAAAGTTGTTTGGCTTGTTTTACTGCTTTATCGATGAACTGCTTAAACGCATGTTGAACCACTTTAGCTCAACTGCTGTGCATTGCCAACAAAGCAGTTGCAAATAATTATTTTGTTCCCTGCTTAGCTTAGATCTGAGGTCGTTAACGCGTACTGCTTTAACGTAAGCACTGCTTTGCTTAAACAGCTTTCTTAACATACTGGAATATAGCTTGCCTAGCAAATTTGCACATTAAAAAAATAATAAATAAACAATATTTAGCCATTAGTTGATTTCATGATAATTCAAAGGTTACATAAAAAAATTTGTTTCACCCACCAATGAATTAAAAAATATAAAAATAAAATAAAAATGAGCTCGCCCGAGCAGGGACTTGAACCCTGGACCCTTGGATTAAAAGTCCAATGCTCTACCGACTGAGCTACCCGGGCATATGATTAGACCTTGCCCAAACCCAAGCAAAAGCATATTTTTCTTCTACAAAAAATAATGTTAATGTTAAATTATTGAAATACAATCCATCTTAGAGAAAAGTGAAGTAAAACTTTTATTTAGATTTCGAAAAATGAATATGCTGAATTTTGTGGAAAACAACTAGTTTATTTAAAACCCTCAGTTTGTGTTTCCAATGTCCAATGTTGCTAACAGCAGGATAACATTGATTAATGTTTTTGTGGACTCATTAAAAACACGGCAAAGTAAATATAATTTTCTTAAATAATTTGTGACAGTAAAAATGTTACAATTTGCGTTTACCTTGACTAGCCTGTTCGGATATATAAGTATGTAGTGCCTGAATAAGTCTTTCGCATATTAATGTATAATGCTGTAACATCCAGTAGTATATCCAACTGTATATATGTATATATATCAAATCTATTTGTATACATAAACGAATAGGCTTAGGAGTCGGTCGCATTGATATAGTCATTTGAGTTTCCGCTTTTTCGTTTTTCCACCCTAAACGAAAAATGTCGCATTAATTAGAACAAGTGTGCATTGGTATAAAGTATTAGGTACCATACCTCTCATTAAAAGCCTTTATCACTTCCTTTTTCAAGACTGATACAAAAAACAAAAGTATGCCTTGGGCAGAGGTTATTATGTCAATTAGCTGGGTTACTCCAAAATTGTTGATTGAACAGAGAAAAGCAATTATCTCCAGAAGCCATGATACGCCTGTTATGGCGAATAGACGGAAGAATAATTTGAAACTAAATGAAAATAACTTAAAAATCTGTAAACATGCAAATCAATAAAAATCACTTGCTTGGCTTGATGTGCAAGTTTGTTGCTACTCTCGGCGTTACTCCACACGCGGCAATTATTCTGGTCCTCTCTATATATTATCATTGCCGATGCAATAGAAAGCCATATGTTGATAAGTATGGCCAACAATATGGGACCATAATAGTAGATCATTGCCGAATAATCCTCAGCTGTGAGTGTGAAATTTGATCACATTAAATGTATATTTAACATAAAATTCACTAAGGATCTTCTCACTTTCGATCCAACAGGAAAAATATCCAATTCTGGGCTGCCATTGGCTTTTATTATCCACGTCAAAGTTTTCGTCCATTTCAAATAGATACGCAACCAAAAGTGTGATTCCAAGTAGCCCAGCAGAAACGCTCCAAACGATGATATTATATTTCTTAAAGTTGGAATTACACGCAATGCCAAGGTTTTTAAATTTCTTCCACAGCGTAAAGTTGATCATCAAGAGCCAAAGGAATGTGGCCATAACAGTGTAATACCCAATGTAACCTGAGATAAATATAAAAAATAATCTATTATTATTATTAAAATTGATAACATTATTTTGTGTTATACATTCATACCAACAAAATTGCACACCCATTTAAAAGGAATACTTTCTCGATAGAGCGACTCGCACCACAGCAACGTGAAGCTAACGGCTAGGCAAAAAAAGTAGCATATGCAGCATTTGTCGTACACTGAACGGAATTTGGGGAAGTACAGATACGTCGCAATGGTAATAATCATACAGAATATTGAAATAACTCGCAATGCATCAGGTAGAGTAACTGAAAGAAAGTTTTTCATACATCAAATTGACCCGACTCGACTTTGATTCTATCAACAACTAACTCGTGCTTTTTGTGCTCGAACTCTCGGCTAAATAGTGGGCACCAAGTTTGTAGACATCATCGTTGACCGCAAGCGGCACCAGGCAATAGCGCCCTTTATTTTTGTTGTGGTTATTGGTATGCTTGAACAGAATCCCATTCTATAAACAAAGCGAAAAATGAATATTCCGATGAAATGTTAATCATGCCCCTATCAAACCTCGAACAAAGTCCACTGATGATCCAAGCTGCTATTCAGACCAATAAAGTCGCAAAATTCCTCATAGACTGGCTGAACGAGAAAGTCCTTGCGCAGATTTATTTCCGTCTCTGTGCCATTGAACAGGGTTACGTTCAAGAGGGCGTCCACAAGGAACTCGTGTGGGTCGCAGCAAAATGGTATGCACGATTTAACATGGCAGACACAACCCCTCGTATAATTGGAGGCCATTTGCATTTTGCCGTCGAGCGATATTCGGTAGTCGTATATTCCGGTTTTTTCTTTCGGAATTATAACGTTTCTATATCGATATGATCCATTCTCAAGCTGTTGCTCTTGTGTCAGTTTGACGGTATCAAAATAGTTGCAGCCGGGAATATCTGCTGTGCTCTGGACTAAGAAAACGCCGAGTACGAGGAGAGCCCAGCTTGAGCTCCCCATTGCGTGGAAATGAAATGAAATTATTTTAAATTCAACTATATAATTCAGTTTTGCCACTTTCTTCTGTTCCGTGATGTGCTTTCATCGGGCTTTCAATGTAAACTGAAGTAGTATTATTCATTCATTTGTCATAAATATAAGTGGATAAAATATAAATAGTGAAAAATCAAACCATATAGGGGCTATGCAAGCGTATTTTCAGAAATAAATGAAGCTTATTACACTAGTAGCTGGTACTTCTCGATCGATCTTGCCAGATACAAGCCTTGTGCTTTATATTTTGAGACAGTCAGATAATTTAAGTTTACTATCTTGAACTCCACATCTCAACTTATATTTTACACAGGTATTTGAAAATTAAATGAAAGTCTAGCTAAATGTTGTCAGCTCATTTAAGCCATTATTATTATCACTAGAGTGGGTATTATTGCATGATGCACCTCTCAATTGAATTTGAACAAAGATCTGTGAGAACGTGTTAGAAGTCAATAAGATGGTACAAAAAATAGTATATAGCAGGTGGAATTTTTTAAAAGCCCTTGCAGATCAAACTCTTTTGCTCGTATTTAAAAAGCACAACGAAAAAAGTTAGTGCCGAGTTTGGTTTAGATATCTTGATAAACAACAAGTACTCCACACAATAACTTAATTTATGATATAGGGTCCTGCAATTGGTAAATAAATAGTTTGATTCTTATAAATGTTCGGGCTCAATAGAAATATCCAGCTGTCAGCCCTATATTTGTTGCGCTGATTCCAGAGTCAGACTGACATATTGATTATAGCGATACACAGAGAGATGTACATATTTTATAGTGTATACCAAGTTCGATTAAACACAGGTCCGACTTATCTGTAGGATTATCAAGTAATCTATACACATAGTATATAAATGAGAATAAGCCAGGCGGGGAATCAAACTGTGGTTTCAGTTTCTGTCTGGGCTCAATATGTTATAGCAACACTCGCGCTAAGTGAATTCTCAAGATGATTGGACCTGTCGCTGTCGGACTTCTTATACTCTTTTTGTGGACATTTGCCATACCTACAATAGACAAGTGTTTCTTATATGCGATGCCGATCGAAATAGCTAGCATCGTCTGCGGCCGTCCCAAATGTACGAAAAACTCGGGCGAATGTGTACAAATGAAATGGGTAACAAAACCTTTCAAATTCTTATTAAGTTCAAGTGTCTTACAGTCATTGGAATATATTAATGGCATAAGAAGTAATTAATAAATAATGTTAAAATAAATAAATAAAATAGCATATGTATATTGGTAATCAAATGTGTATAAATTGTATTTCAAAGTTGTCGTATTTTAAAAATACATAGTTGCTAAGAGGCTTCTCTAGCTCTCACACTATTCATTTAATATTAATATACAAAATATACAGAGAATATACTCATGTAAGACTTTGGCTAATCAGTGGAATGAATCATTCCGAGTGGAATGATTCACGGGGTTTTAGAGGTATATGATTTGGTTCGGACATTTCAAACAAAGTATACAAATGGTTGAAGTACGAAATTACATAATAAAAACTGATTGTTATCTCTTATATAAATAAAATAGACTTTAAAAAATATTTTGAGTAGCAAAAGATTGAGAGAGTGAGAACACGATAAATATCAAATCCAAATATTGCCAAACAGAATATCGAAAGGAATAAAAACAAATAATATATTTAAAAATGTAGCAAAAGATTGTGGTCCAACAATTGGCAAGGCTGATAGTGGCAGTCCACTCCGGTACGCTATCCCACTACTGCTTACCACGGGAACTCTTGGCTGCTGGTTTTCACCCCTGGCCCGGTTCATCCCTCCTTAGCCAACCTGAATGCCGTGGACTCCTCCGCGGCACCCATATTGATGGCAAGCTTAGTGCGGACGTTCCGTCAACATGGCTGGTCCACTACACAGTGATCCCCAGCCTCAGGCCATCCCACAATCAGACCTCACAGAAGCGTGATTACAGAAGCTGCCAACCTTCCAGTCGAATTTTACATTTCTAAACGAGCATTTTATTTTTAGCAAAGTTGTTTGGCTTGGCTTACTGCTTTATCGATGAACTGCTTAAACGAATGTTGAACCACTTTAGCTAAACTGCTGTGCATTGCCAACAAAGCAGTTGTAAATAATTTTTTTGTACCCTGCTTAGTTTAGATCTGAGGTCGTTAACGCGTACTGCTTTAACGTAAGCACTGCTTTGCTTAAACAGCTTTCTTAATATACCGGAATATAGCTTGCCTAGAAGACAGCAAATTTGCACTCATTAAAAATATAATAAATAAACAATACTTAGCCATTAGTTGGTTTATTGATTTTTCAAAGGTAACATAAAAAACTTTTTTCTACCCACTAAGTGAATTAAAAATATAAAAAAAAAAAAATGAGCTCGCCCGAGCAGGGACTTGAACCCTGGACCCTTGGATTAAAAGTCCAATGCTCTACCGACTGAGCTACCCGGGCATACATTTATCGAAAGTCAAGGAACCATCCTGATAAAGTCGAAAGAACAGGATCACGAATGTGACCGTCCAAGAAAAAAAAAAGAGAAAATCATAAATTGTACATTTTAAAATAGTTTTATTTTTATGTCATAGTCATACATGTTTACATATGTTTTCATTTGTTTTGATTTATTTATATTTGTATGGTTCTGTGGTTTTACGCAGTTGAACCCATATCATTATATAAGTACGGATTTCATTTAAAATTAGTTATGTTATTTATCTTTACATGGAATGCAGTTAAACTCTTTGCGCTGGCGCACATCGTACGCCCCTATCTTGAAAACTACAAACGTTTTATTGCATTTTGATTGAAAAATCATATCGTTTGGACAAATTGCAAAACTATTTTATAGGTTAAACAAAAACAATTCATTAATTAATTTGTGCTAAGTATTTTTTTTTTCTTATTTGCGTTTGCTTGCTATTATTTTGTTTTCATATTTCGTTTTGTTGTTTTTTTTTTTTTGTTTTTGTTTCTTAATGCGCTGGTTTTTTTTGTAATTTTACTTTTTACTAAAATTTGTCTTGCTAATTCGATACATATAATTTAGGCTTAGGAGCTAGGTTCACATAGACTACCGATAGGTTCTAGAATGCACTAACCTTAGCTTAGCAAAAAGTACAGCATAAATAATTACATTAAATTTACGTATAGGTTTTGTTTTAATGTTTTTGTTGTTGTGTGTTTTTATTATTTTAATTTTCTTAAATTTTGTGTTAATTTTAGATTTTAACAATTTGCGCATTGCTCAATATTTTGAATTTTAATGCACACTTACGCTAAGAGACAATATGTATTTGTATTTGTAATAGGATTTTGATTTACAGACACAAAAGTTCTTGATTCGACTCGAAATAATAACATTGAGAGAGCATCTGGTGTCGGGCACCAGCCATAAATAATTCTCAGTGGCTTTGCTATAGAAATTGTGCTAAATAGTTGCAATTGGGCCACAAGTTTCCTGTTTATCCTCCGAATTTGTTCATTATTGTGGGGATTGGGGGGTGCAAATAAAACGAGTTTGTATTTAGTATGTATTAATTTTGAATAAAATTAGTAAAGCATTTGCCAAGCTGCTAAAGCACTTTCAACAACACAAATCTATATTAAAATAAAACTGAACATTTCGGCTCACAGTTTGTTAAGTAGCTCTCGAGCAAAACAATTTATATTTAAAATGAAACACAAACATAATAAGGCGCCATATGAGAGTGGGGCGCTCTGCTATATACAAACTAAACAAAACCTTATATGGGTAGCTATGCATACATATACATACACATACATATGTACATAGTATGTATGACTGTTAGGTTTTAAGTACAGATTTGAGAATGCGAATTATCCCCGGGGACACTCGACTTAGAATTAATCATAATACGAAAACTAATTTTAATAGAAATCACTTTGAAATTATTGCAAATATTACGTTCAATTTGAATTGTTTTTTGTTTTTATTTTTGTTTTTCAAATTTGTTCGTCTGTGCGGACTTAGGCCTAAAATTTATGCTACACTTAAAACTAATAGCTTTTCGAATACTGCTTAGAGAAAGAGGTTTATCATACTGGACGTCCAATGGCAACGGCTTCAAAAGAAGTTATCATAAGCGAACTCCAGATGCCCTGCCCAAGTCCGAGCCCAATGCTCGAACTGTGTTCATGTGTGTGCGTGTGTGTGTGTGTGTACTTGTGTGTGTGCTCGTGTGTGTGTGTGTCTGTGCGGGTGGTGGCGTCTGCGGGAAGGCTCTGGAAGAACTAGACGAACGCGCACAGTTCCACCTCCAGTATCATAAACCCAAACGAGCCGCGCTCCAGCAACGGCTCATTTCTCAGCTTAACACGAATCAGTTGCAAACAAGAAGCATCGTCTTTGATGTTGGTTGATCGACAGCGGCGGCGGCGGTTGCGATTGCGGTTACGGATGTGGTTGCGGATGCGTATGCGTATGCGTATGCGGAGCAAGGCAAGGCAAGGCAGTGGCAATGGCGCAGGCACCGGCACCGGCACCGGCATTGGCTCAGCAGCAGAACAAATTGCAGCCCACAATATCCGCTTTGTACTCCAGCTCGAGCTCCAGGCCCAGCTCCGAGTCGGGCTCACAGTCCGAGTCAGTCAGCAGCTGGTCGAGTGGCTGCTGTTGTTGCTGCGACTGCTGCTGCTGCTCCTGCTGCTGCCTGATGATAACCTGAGATCAGAACTCTTGAGGATATTTGATGCAGTCGGCATTGGTATTGCTGGCATTGGCCACCGCCGCGGCGGAGCTGAACAGCGAATTGGGTCCGTTTCCGGCGCCAATGTTGCTGCCAGCTCCGCCGCCGACGCTGGCGCTGCCTAGCACCGACGCCGCCGCGGTAGCATCCTGAGAGCCCTGTGACTGATAGCCGCCGGCCACGCTGGCCGCTGCCGCCGCCTGATATGGTTCCTGATACAACTGATTGAGTCTCTAACCAGTACCCGAAAAGTGCCACGCGTCCTATGCGCTCAGATGCGCGAACTGTGACGGATGGATATCGAACTGGTGATAGGGATGGCCATAGGGGCCCATGTGATAGGGCACAATGTTCATTGACGCCATCTTGTGCTCCTTCTTCCACTTCATGCGCCGGTTCTGGAACCAGATCTTGATCTGTCGCTCCGTCAGGCAGAGCGCGTGCGCGATCTCAATGCGTCGCCGGCGCGTCAGGTAGCGATTAAAATGGAATTCCTTCTCCAGTTCCAGTGTCTGATAGCGGGTATATGAGGTCCGTTGTCGTTTCGTCTCGCCATTGGCATTCACAGTGCCTGCAAAAGTCGAAAGAACAGGATTTCATTAGTGAGCTATGAATGCATTGAATGTGCTTAGAAGGCTATATTCGGTACTCCGAACATTAAATACCCTTGCAGACAACCAAAGCTCTGATACACACCCATTTAATGATGGGCGAACAGTGAAACTCGTTATTGCTGAATTTGGTCATACAGCAGAAGAATTTTCAATATTTTAACAGATATAATATTTTACTTATATGTTGCTAAGTTGGGGAAGATATCATTAAACTAAGTACTTTACAAAAGAAAGATTTATCCGTACGATCCATCTGCTCCCGGACTTGAAAAGCTAAAATAATGTTTATAGGAAATATTTTTTTTTAATCCATAGCTATTCCTTGTATTAAGTGCAACGAAATCCGAATGTCACCCACAAATATATATTTAATTTTTTCAATATATTTAAATAACATTTGCACTGTCAAATGGCAGCAAGCTCTATTTGAGTGCTTCTGATTTTCTTTGGCATCTAATAGTTTGTCTAATAGTCTGGCTTTTTAATTCAAATTTTAACACTTTCGTTGGAGGCGTTTCTAGGCAATCGACAAACGTTGAAGTGGATCGTTGAATTTTTTCTGCGCAGAAAAAGTTAATTTTCTTGTTTATTTTTTGATTTTCTGCAACTTTGCGCATTTCATAAATATGACGTGTCAAGCTGCAATTTTGCTGTTCACCGTCGAAAAGATTTTATATTTGTTATTGTTGTTAGCCAAAAAACAAAACAAAAAAAAATCAACAAAGGCCAAGGGGTTGCGGGCTTGTCGGCGCTGTACGTGAAGTCTCAATCTTTAGACTCTAGACCCTAGACAGCTGTCGCTGCTCGATTTCACTGTCCTCCTCCCACTGCCGATGGCCAAAGATAATGACAATTTGCTCATTCCCCAACCGATGCCCCAACCACCCCCCGCAAAACTATTGTCATCTTTTGGACTGGCGCGAGGGCGTTCATAACGCGTCGTTCATAATGAGGGGGCGGAATGTGGCAAAGTAGACTTTTAAAAGCCATTTACCGTGGCGTGTTATTATGGCCAAGTCAATTGGCTCGCCCGCTTTTCAACAAAATAAAAAAAGAGAATCAGACAATGTCTCTCAAACACACACACATTCACGTAGTCGGCCCGTGAAATGTGTGGCAGTCAGTCAATGTGATAGACAGGCCAAGTGAGGAGCGCTTCTGTCAGCACTTTGGGAAAGCCGACAAATGTTCCATCTTGGACCCCTTGGTCGCCACGTTCTGCAGCGCACCACTGCGCTTATATGGGTCATGGCCCATTGCTAAACGGCAATTGGAACTACAAAGTTGCTGTCGCTTTTCTTCTAATTGCATTGCTCGGATGCAAATGTTTTTACAAATATACAAATATTGTGCGAGATGCGCAAATGTTGCTTATTATTTAAATTATTGGCTTTGAGTTTAAGTTTATTTAATTCTAAATGTTGACAACCAAACTTTATTGTTGCAAGAAATATGAGGTTTAAATTCCGAATTCTATAAATAAGAATTCTTTAAGGAACAGTTGTGGCAAATTTTCTCATTGAAAATTTACTTAACTTGTGTATAATGTGCATTTAACTAAATATTCAAATTTAAATATTCTTTTGTAGCCCTGCATTCATTTTAAGTGCCAGGTCTGATATTCTGTTGGATAGAGAAATTCGTATAGTCGAATTATAAATAAAAATCTGCCTTTACATGTTAATTAAGGATTAAATAAAATAAAATTACAATTTAAAAAAGCGTTGCTAGCAAAATTCAGCTCGAGAAATTCGATAACAAACAAAAAGTTTCGCACGTATTTCTTTCTCTCTTTCTCGTTTCTGTCTCTGTCTGCCTAGAGGATGCGCGACACGAAAGTTTGTTTGGTTTTGTAGTCGGATTTAGTTGGTTTAGTGGTCGACGTGACGTAGTCGGAAGATGTCGGGTCACATCAATCAGTAGGAAATCTAAATGGAATTTCTGATTAAACTTGAAATTAATTACCACTCATTTAATTAAAGTGAATTTGAGTGTGGCAAATGCCGAAGCGCCGTTCGCCAAAAACCCCCACACACAGACACACACAGAGGCACACACACACACACACACATATGTTAGAACTCAAAAGCACTTTTGCCCTGTGCACACTCACGTTGAAAAGTCTACGTCCCTGTGCGCTTAGTGGGCACCGCTTGCTGTAGCTGGTTGTCTTTTGGCCATTCTGAAACGGGTTAAAACTAATGACCACGTAAACAACAGAGCAGACAGTAACCAGACGAAGACACCAGCTTCATCCGTCATCAGACAGAGAGAGTGAGAGAAAGAGAGAGAGAGAGAGAGAGAGAGAGAGAGAGGGCGAGAGAGAGCGACTGCGACAGTTTGGTGGCAAATGGAATTGGGCAAATCCTTAAGCGCGCGAGTCCTGACCCATTTCGGTCAGTTAGCAGCGCTGTCAGTCAGCTTATCAACTATCAAATTGAATTCGAAAACTAATATCTCTCGCAAGCCATTAGAGCATGCCGGAAAGGTGCAAGCTGTCGGGTCAAAGTTTGCAGACGGCTTCATGCAACATTCAGTGGCATTTGATGCATGAAGTGCAGACGCAGCTTCAGGTTGCACTTATTGTTCGTCATATTTTTTCTGACCTTGCTGCCAGCATCTAGCACTGTGCATGGAAAATCAATATGAACTGTTGCGGTGCAGTTGGCGGACATTTTCTTAGCTGCTGCACTTTGTGTTTCTGAAAGTTCTGGGGCAGGGCGAACAGCACTTGCGCCGCCGCCGACCATTTACAATTGTCAAAGGCTGCTGTCATTTGGCGTTGCAATTTGTTTACACATGCAACACGCTCACAGCTGCAGTCGCAGCCGCAGCCGCAGCCGCAGCCGCAGTCGCAGTCACAACGGCAGCGGGTATTAAAAGTATCTGTGAAAAGTATCTGTGAGAATGCGTTCATGTAGCTAGAGTATCTGGGGAATTGGCGATTGCGCTGAGCAGCACAAGGGACTTGCTGAGAAATGTTTCATAATTATAATATTAGAGAATATGTAAATATTTAATTTGAAAGCGGGAAAATAAAAGTACAATGCTTTGTTAGTATAACTACTACAAATTAAGTTTTAAATTCCTTTTTGAATTAATAAGTTAACAAATTATGTTGAACAATTGATATTATTGCTGGTTCACATCGATTGTCGATTATTCCCAGGAACATGGTTGTACTACTTTTTTCTTCATTTTTTAACTTTTATTAAAAAAAACTATTCAAACACCCGTGAAAACGGAAGACAAGAGAAAGATGTGACTGCATACTTTCAAATATTTTAATATCCTTTGATTGAATTGGATAATACCGTCTCTTCTTCTCTTTGATCTAAGCCACATTTCGCAATCCCATTTTGGAGTCGAGTGTGTTCCATTTAACGAACAAATAGTATTATTTATGTCTCAATCAGCCGAGAGTGGACAACATTTGTTGCTGCACCCTTTCTGGCATAATTTCCAGCTAAAGATCACACAAATACGAACCGAACTGATCCGATTGCCCGGCAACCCGTTGAGGGCTATGCTAAATGTCAACACTGGGTATCGGTATGGGTATGGGGTTGAGGTGTGGGGTGTGGGGTGTTTGGCGTGGATAGGAGAATGGGGAACGGGCGTGTGACTGGGACTAACTACATAGCTACATAAGTGGCGCATCGTTGTCGCTTGTCGTCATGGCCAGGCGCAAAGCCCCATGAGTTGACAGCAGTTTGGCTGAGGCACTGCCACTGCCACTGGCACTGGCAGCTTCACTGGCACCTGGCATGTCATATCACTTATCGTCGGGGCATGGGCATGGGACATGGGGCATGGGCATGTCGACTCTTGACAGCGCCAATGAGCGAACATCCGAGGCGTTTTACAACTTTGTGCCCATTTCGCGCTCTGTCTGGCCAGATCGTGAAATACTATATAGACATATTGGATTCTGCATACATATTCCTATATATATATATTTACTAGTGCTTATATTTGAAAAGCGACGCGCTGTGAATGAGGAATTTAGCGTGTGTCCGTGTCTGCGTGTGTGTGTTGAGTTTTTGTTTGGTCTTTTGTTTTGATCTTTTGCATTTCATTTTCATGTAAGATGACGTCAAAGTCAAAAGCTGACAGCCGCTTAACATATCAGTTGAAAATTTGAAATTTGGTGCATGCAAAAATGTGCAACAGAATTTATTAAGTGACACAACAGAAACTGGCTGCGGCTCCTGCGGAACGCATCCACATTCGATTCGCGGCAATTCTGCAATTCAAATTGCCATTGTCTGCGGCCACGTTTTGCATACCCCAGCCAGGGGCTTTGTGGGGCAGCTGATCATGTTGTGATTGACGCGAGATTAGCATACGTTCAGGTTCAGGTTCAGGTTCAAAGTTAAGCTCAAAACCCTTGGCCTAGGTCAGCAGACAGGAGGCGCAGCTGGTGCTCAGCTTCGAGTTGGCATTGCAATCCGGTTCAAAGTTTAATTGTTTTTCGCCGCGTCTTCTGCTTCGGCTGCAACATCTTCGGCTTGAGGCGCAAATAGAAATAAATAAAAAAACGCTTGCGGCTTGTCACAAACACTTGTACTGGTCATTTGTCAACGGCCGGCGTATGTGCCGCACTGGCCGGCGGTTTAAGTAAAAAAATACAAAAAACGAGAAAAAAAGTGAACATCGTCATCGTAATCAGCCGCGCAACGTGTGCGGCACGAAACTCACCGGTGCCCAGTCACCGTCAGCCGTACAGAAGACGTTCCATCTTGCATCTGGCGGCTCGGATTCGATCTTATCGGCCAAATAAAACAACAATAACAACAACAACAGCAGCAGCATTGTAAGCTGACTTGTTGCTGTTACGGCGAAATGCGACAACAAGAAGAAGAAGAAGAAGAACAACAACAAAGCATCAGCAATTTGCGCTCGAGATCGCAACTAAAACTTCATAAATCAACGCACTTCCGATTACGCAAGATCA